AAAAAAAAAAAAAAGTATGTAATATGTAATATATAATTTTATTTATTTTATAATAATTATTATTTATTTTATTTTATTTTATTTTATTTTCATTTTATTTTATTTTTTTTTTGTTGTTTATTGTTTATTTTTGTAATACAAACCAATTAATAGTTAGTAGGCGGGAAATTTTGTGTTAGTAAATAATAAATAAATAAGTAAATAAATGAATATACTAAAAAAGAAAAAATTTAATTTTTTAACGCCCATAAAAAATTAAAATTATTTAAAAGGGTTAATCGAAGGAAAATCTATGAAGATACGCCATATATAAAATAAAAAAAAAATGCGAAAAAAAAAATGCAAAAAAAATGCAAAAAATGCAAAAAAAAAAAAAAAAAAAATAATTTTAATATAAATAAAGAAACTCAATTGTTTGCCTAAAAAAAAAATACTAGATTTTTTAAAAGTTATATTCATTAGTAATTTCCAATTTTATATGTTATCAATTAAAATTAAATACATTTTTTTTTTTTTGATGATAAACGAAATTGGTTAATAAAAAAGATTTTTTTTTTGAGACTAACCAATAAAAAAACAAAATGTTATTTTAACAATGGGTAACTTTGATTATTACTGATAAAAAGAATATATATATATATATGTTTATATAAGTTCAATTTATAATATTTATAATAAATTATTATTCAATTAATTATAAAGTAATTATTTTGGTTTAGTGAAAATCTGGAGAAAGGCTCCGATAAATTCAAAAAAAGATTATAATTTTTTATGTGTTATATAATATATAAATTAATAATCATCACTAATCATTTTTTATTTCTTGAAATTAAATTTATATTTTGTGTAAAATTAAAACCAAATTTGTTTAATATATGATTTTTTTTAAAAAAAGATGTACAAGTTAAAAAATTTATACGATGATACGATGAATGATTGTTACCAAACACTTAATGGGGTATTACTAATAATCGAACCATTTATATTCAAATCCAGAATTCTGGGATTAATTCAAAATCAAACACAACATTTTATGCATTATAACATTATCAGTTATAAAGTTATTTAAAATCCATAAACCTGTTCATTCAACGCCAAGACAAAGTGACAAACAATGTGTTTAATTCCCCAAGATTAAACTAACATATGACACACGACATATAAACTCTAAAAAAAACGCCACCCTTATATGAATTGGGTAACAAACATTTTTTTGGATTATACTAATAATTATTTATCCGATTAATAAGTTGGCATTAATTAAACAGATCATTCACCTGAAGGAAAAGTCATGTCAATCAAGTTAATCAAGTTTTTCTCCTTAAAGCTTGAATAAATTGTTTGCTTACATTATATAAAATTGTATATACGGGCGTAGTATTGTATATATTTTTTATTTTTCGTAAAAGTGAAATTTTTCCGAACATGAATTCCAATATATTATTCGTATTATTTGTATACTGATATGGAACAAAAGGAGGAGTAAAAGGCGTAAAATATTACTAGTATTAAAATAGTAATAATAGTTTAATATTTTACAATATATTTTATAATATTTTTATTACTTTTATACTTTTTAATATACTTTTTATACTTTTTAATATACTTTTTATACTTTTAATATAGTTTTTATACTTTTAATATAGTTTTTATACTTTTAATATGCTTTTTATACTTTTAATATGCTTTTTATACTTTTAAATACTTTTTATACTTTTAAATACTTTTGATATACCTAAATTTACTCTAAAATCTCTACTTTATCAGATGAAACATGTTCGTTCGTTATACGATGTGACAAACAAATTTTCACGCATAAATGGATTAATTCGCACATGATACCTTAAATAAAAAATATTGATTTTAATAGTTATTTAATCCTTCTTTTTTGAGATTTGGAAAAAAAAATATCCTTACATGCATCGGAATAACCTTTGAAGTATTCACTCTTTGTTTTCAACGAAAATGCAAATTTTTTTATCCAATTATTTGTTTTTTATGAAGCAACTTTTATTATTACATATATACATATATATGTGAACTAAGGGATTTTAAATAAATATCTTGTGAATTAAATGCATGCATTGTTTTTTTTAGCGTGGTTTCCTATACCCTTGAATTACTCGAAAATTTTTTTTTTTTAAAAAAAAAATAAGCTTTTCTTTAATATAAAATGTGAGTTACATTATATCGATAAAAATAAAATGTTAAATGTAATTAATATAGTTTAATGCAAAATTCTATCATAATTTTTGGGGAGTACAAATAAAAGATCGTAATTTTACACAAAAATATTTAAATTTTTTTTTGATGATGATCACTTTTTTTTATAAAGAATTTATTGGTTAATATTATAGTTATAATTTGGTATCATCATATTTCTTTTTGGGTAATCTTATTTTTTTTTTTTGTTTATTTTCTATTAGAAAAACTCAGAGAAATCATATCTTACTTTTTAATTTAAAAGAATATTCGAAATAATAACATAAAACCAGTATAAAACTTGACCCTCGGGTTTCAATAATGTTGTGATCATATATTTACATTTATACAAAACTTTAATTGGTGCTTTGATGGTTGATCAAATTTTTTTTTTTTCTCTTGTGTAAAAAAAGAAAAAAAAAAAAAACGAAAATCGAATTCGTTTTTTCAAAAAAATTTGAAAAAGAATGGAAAAAAAGAAAAATTATACATTTTTATACATTTATAGTAATTTTAAATGATCCGATTGGTAGTACAAAAAATGTTTTTTTTATAGTTTCCCATACTAATGCAACATATTATAATCTCGATAACGTAATTGCACTGACAAACATGCCTCGACGCCCAGACATAATCTCTTAAATATAAATGATTATCTCTTTCCGATAAACTTTGAACCATACATTCAAGGAAAGAATTGATTTAAAGTTTATACATACAGCAGTATTATTATTTTTATGTATATTTTGTACAGTATATGTATCGAAAATTCGAATATTTTAATAATAAGCAATATGACAATATGATGATAATTTTTTTTTATAAATTAAAATGTAAGTTTAGAATGAAATGCGTTTTTATTGTTCACATCCAAAATTTTACTTTTCTATTTCGTAAATTTAGAATTTTTTATTTGCTTGTTATGTGTTATGCCATATAATTAGTATATATAAAATATTATAATTGGTATATATAAAATATTAATAGTATACAATTATATTAATTATATTAATAGTATAATTAGTATAACAGTTAATCAATTAATAAATTAATAATAGTAATAATCAGTATAACATAACGCAAAAATGTTGTGATCTACTTTATGTGAATTATGACCTGCTGAAAATTTGTTGAGATCCACTCATATCATGATTTTTTTCAATAATAAATATCGGGTTATCCGAGAGTTACTATTATTTCTAAAATGTGAGGATAAATATTATTTTTTTTACAAACAGGTGTAAATTCAGGGATTCAGGGTTGTTTTTTTTTTAAAGTGAATATCTTTTAAAAAATCGGCAGATTATACGATTATACAAAATTTTTTTTCATTCCAATATTTCCCCATTTAATATAATGATATTTCCATATTTCCATAACTCCCTGAAAAAAATCTACTGATCAGCAAATAGCCACCAAGCAAAAAAAACTACTAATTTTAACAATGTTTAACAATGATTTTAGTTTAGTGAATTTTTTAAATATTAAATAAAAAGGAGGAACTATAATAACAAATCATGGAATATGTTATATACCGGATCAACATGAACATTTATTTTTAAACACTTTCATGAGATTACCATACAAATCATACAAATTCTAAGGGGGTTCATCTTTAATTTCTATTTATGTAAATACATACAGTATATAATTTCAGTTTTTTTTTTTTAAACAATTTAATGTGGTTATTTAAGTTTAGAAAGGATATAATTATGGTAAAATTGCTTATAAATCGTTTTTTATAATAATAATAATAATAAACTTTTAGTTCCGATGTTCCGATTTTCGGATTTGGATAATCTCGGCCTCGGAATTATCATGGAGTAAATTTCATTTTTCATTATTAAAAATTTATTTATTAAAGTTCGTGTAAAAAAAAAATCAATGATTAATAATTAAAATTTATTTATTATTTATTATTATTTTTTTTTTTATCTATTACATCTATTACATCTATTACATCTATTATATCTCTATTATATCTATTACAGTATTCAAAAAAAAAAAAAATAAATAAATTATACTGTAATATAATAAATTATACTAGATATACAAAATTACATTATGTACATATATATATATCACATGGTAACATGGTAAAAGTGTTGTTCCCCGTAGAGTACAATATTAAATGTTAATATTGTAAAAAAAAAATGTTTAAACTTTAAATGACATTTTATGAGTTAATTATAATTTATAATTATTTTATGAATACGTAAGCACAGTGTTGTTTACTTTATTAGTCAAATAGTGTTATAAATCGGATAAGGTTGGACCATATTGAGAAATTATAAAAATCCAACAATCTAATGGATTGGTCCATTAAAACACTTGGGATATATAAAGTCAGTGCTTCTTTTTCTAATAATAAAAATTTTAAATATAGAAAATATATCTGGAGATATACTTTTCTTTATAAATTAGTAAAACGACGACTGTGAATTCAAATTATATAATACTGTATAACGAGAAGGAGATGGTTATATACTTGTGTACTTATGACATTATGCACTTATGTACTTTTTTACTTTCCATAAGTAACTAGATTTTAACAAATGATACAATTTACAAAATCCTTTTGTTTTTTCAACCGAAAAAATCCCAAAAAACGTAAAAAGAATTATAACTTCACAGGGGGCGTGGTATGAAATATGATTCGTCAAAAAAAATATTTCCTTTTTGGAAAATTCTGGCTGGAGTTATGTAATCACCTGACCATACTACAGTGTTCAAAATTTAAGTGCTCAGACACGGTAATTTTTGATTGTGTGAGAATTTTTATAGATGATGTGCGCTATATACTTTGCCATATTACTAAGCAAATTGAATAATGTGCGCTACTGTGAAATTAAAGTTAGATGTAAAATTATTGTGGCAATCAGAATTTATAACCAGTGTTATAAATTCAAAAAATTCTTATACGCGCAAAGCGCATATCATTAGTAAAATTCATATGCGCTTTATATAATGATAGGCGCTACTAAGAAAAATGCCGCCTAATATTTTCAACGAAATACGCGGGAAATAAAAGTATTGTACGCTGCGCCTACTACGCGAATCCAATTTACATCACTGTTTATAACTATAAATAAGTATGGGATCAAGGTTCGTCCGCATAACGATCGCGACAATATCATAAATCAAGTCACGAGAGTTAATATATTATACACCCATTATTTATTTAATAAATTAATTATAATACATCATACATACAGTACATAAATTAATAAGGATATAATTGACGTACATGCAATCTACAACTCCGAATAAAAGCGGGTACTATCTACGTCTTCAAGTGGCACACTTAAATGACTCTCGCTTTACTAATTATATCATCATCAATAGGAGTCGCAGATGGACCCAAGTTCATTCGACTTTTCCATAATACCATATCATTAATGATTTCATTATAACCTTTCAATTCCAATTCTAACTCTTCGGATTTCACTTCCTCATCATCACCTTTTTTCTCTCCGTTTACAATATCATTTGATTTATTCAACTTTTGTGACCTTAAATGTACCGAAAGTTTTTTATGACGTGGTGAATCTGGACTAATAAATTTCTTATAAAATTCAAAAAGATCTTGTTTTGAGACTTTACGTATCTCTTCTACATCCTTAACATCTAAAATTAGAAAGCCGGAAGAAAAGAATTTTTTTTAGGTATCAGATTTAGATCCCGGTAAGGTGCAAAGATTCAAAGATTCTTGTTTACCTTGTTCAAAATCATAATATCCGGATTTAATTTGACCCCAATGTCTAGAAGTTTCTTGTGATAAATTTTTAGGTTTTTCTAGTTTCCTATCAATTAATGCTTGAACTCTCGTTTGATATTCTTGTTCTGACATATCTTCAATTATTTTCTGATAACAAAATGGGTTTTAAAAATAAATAAAAAAAAAAATAATAAATGATTACAAAGAAGAAAACAAGTCGTTATTATACCTGTAATCCATACAAGAAATTTTCGATTCTATTTTCCAAATGAACAGTATCTTTTATACTTTGTACTCTAATTCTTAATCCAGTAGATCCTGATTCAAGTCTTAATCCACTAGAAACTAAATAACCTAAAATTAAAGAAAAAATTCGTTAAAAAATTAAACCACAAATTTCCAAAAATCTCCTCATTTTAACCTACCTAATTGTTCTTTTGTTCTCAATTGATCAAAACAAGGCTCATGAGCGAGTTTAGACATTATATTTGATCTTATCCTTAACTCTCTATTTTTAAAATCACAAATTTGTATATAATATTCAACAGCAGAATTAACGTTGTCTGAATCAAAAACATCTCTTTGATATGTAAATTTTTTTCCTTTTGGAATCATTATTGATCTTGATCTAATTGATTGTGATGGTAAAAGAGCTTTTGGTTGAAGAATCTCTTCAATTTTTTGGGATATTTTAATTGCATTATCCTTTAATATATTACCATGAATTAATATTTCAATATATAATTGATCAAGTAATTTTGCATAAAATATTTCTATATCTTCATATTTAATACTTTCTAATGCTTCTAACTTTTCCTCATTTAACCAAAGACGATCAATCGTTAAATAATCTAAATAGTATTCTGAATGTTGAGATGGAGAATTCAATAGAAAATTTTTATATGATCTCTGAACTTTTTCTTTGATTAATGAAAATCTTTCAGGATCAACCTTGAGATTTTTCATTTTATTTACAACTTTTTCTAATAAAACCGGTAATTTATCATTATATCCGCTTATTGATAATGATAACCCTTGAGGCCGATAACTAATACCATAATATACACCTGCCATTTGAGCATTGTATAAATATTCATTTAAAGCATCTTTAATTAATTCGGAATAAAGCCGAGTTTTAACGTGATATAATGGTGTGGCATAAGCAAGTGGGCTGTTAAAAAGGAAATAAAGAAAGATGTTAACATGTTATAAATTATATTAATATGTTATAAAATATGTTAATATGTTATAAAATATACCTATTCAACAAAACATAAATATTGGCTTTTGGAACCCAAAATGTATCGTCTTTTTTATACCATAATCGACTAATTTGCGTATCTTTGATTATATCTGGTCTTTTGGCAGGCTAATTTCATTTAAATAAATTAAATTAAAAAGTATTAAATAATTAAATTCGAATTATATCATCTAGCTAAAAACTTACCGTCGAAATTTCTTTCTTGTATGTTTCAAAATCGGTTGGAATGAATTCATTAATTTCCGGTAATTTCAATTCAGAATGTGTCGTGATATTCTTCAAAGCCTATAGGTAATAATAAAGAAAAAGAATAAACAAAAGAAATAATTATAAAAAATGAGAAAAATAATAATTTTACCTGAATAAGTTTATCACTTAAAGGTTCTACTTTATATTCAGTTCCATACCACTTCTCTTTTTGATCTAATCCAGTAAAAGATTGACTGGATAATCTAAGAACAAAATTATCATGTCGAAGTAAATCAAGTAATTCATTAATTAATTTTGAATCAAATTCTCTGATCAAAGATGTACTAAGAATCCATTCTCTCGGGTAAGGCTTTTGCATCATCATAGATAAATTTGTAGTATATCCTGTTGGTGCATATTTTTCCCTGAATCTAAATGAAATTTCTCGTATTTTTTTAATCTAAAAATTCAATTATATTGATAAGATATTACGCGTGATAAATAAATATTATTATTAAAGAATTTACTTCATGATAAGTCCATTCTTGAATTCCAACTTGTTTCAACATCTCAATATATTGAAATATGTGCACTACTACATCTTCATAATTAGCTATTGAAAATATAATAAATATGTTAGACGTGTTAAACATGATGAACAGTAAATGAATTGGAATTAAATTAAAATAATTACCCAATCCAGATTCAGTAAGATCTATTGAAACTATGAAAAATCCAAATCCAATATCTCCTTGGTAATAGGCGCCTAAAGAATTTACCCATCCTTTCTTTTTCAACAAAGTAAATAACGATCCGCTTCCTTCATGTCCAATCAAATGACTCAAATATCTTTCAGGCTATTTATATATATATATATATATATATATTATAAAATTTATATATTAAACTTTTTTTAGAAAAATGAATGAGCTTATTTTACGCACGTACCATAAAGCGATATAATGAACTTAGGTCTGGGAACGGAAACTTTATTTTTAAGCTGCGATTATCTTTTACGGGTTTAGCAAAAACTTGTTTCTATAAAATTTAGATACATAAATATTATTATTTGTTTCATATACTTTTTTTTAAAAAAAATATTTATATAATTTGACGTATTTGACGTACCAATAATTCATTCTCAGTTAACGGATGTCCATCAAAAGTAGGTATTGGAACATTTTTATTTTTAATAGCAGAAAATTTCTCAATAACCCATTGAGTAAGTTGATCTAATGATTCTTTACCAAGTACGACCAATTTCATAATATTTGCTGAATAATATTTTTCATGAAATTTTAATAATTCATCTCTAATATTTAATCCTTGTTTAATTGGATTTTCTTTAAGTGTTTCCAAATTTCCTGTACCGAATCTTGAATAAGGATGTTTTGAGTTTGATAATGACTTTTCTAATTGATATAATCTCCAACCATCTAATTGCAAATTCTTATTGTTCTCTAAAATCAGGAAAATTATAAGTAAATTATCTAAAGAAAAGATGTTGAGCACCCCAAAAAAAAAATTTTAATACCGGAATCAACCGCGCAGATTTCTCTATCAACACAATTTGGATCAAATAACGGTGCTATAAAAAATTGAGCAAACCTATCCAAAGCACCTTCCAAAAATTCAGGTCCAACACCAAAATGATAATTAGTGTCATTGGTACTAGTAAAAGCATTTGCATTTCCATTATGTTGTGATAGATAATCTAAATATTCATTTTCTTTTGGGTATTTTTCAGTTCCCATAAATAATAAATGTTCACAAAAATGTGCAAGTCCTGATAAACTTTCCTAGAAAAAAAACAATAACCTTTTTTAGAATCATACTAGAATCGGTGGAAATTCTTTATTCCAAAATACTGTACTTACAGGGTCACAGAAATAACCGACATTAACGTCCAAAGAAGCACTTGATTTATCAGTATTAGCATCATGAATAAGTAATGCTTCTAGTTCATTACTTAATCTAATAAGTTTATAAGATCTATCATCATTATCCGATTGTTCAATGGGAACCGATAATACTGCATGACTTTTGTCTTCTGAAATTGTAAAGTTTGATGGAAGATTTTTGAAGATTGAAGTCGTTGCCATTATCTAATTATACGTGAAGGGTCGCAGATCATATATATGCATAAGTATTAGTCTAATTTTGGTATCTGTTAATGTGATTTTTTTCGATTTGAACATCCTCCTGATTTTTTTAACAAAAAAAAACTTACTTCTTTTTAACTTGATAAAGAAATAATTTTGATGTAAAAAAAAAAAATTCGGGATTTTTTTTTCTTATTTATAATAATTATTCACTTATCATTTCAATCTTTTGGTATCAAAAAAATAATAAATGACATTACCTAAAATTTAACAATTAAAAACCGGTTTAGTTTTCCCATAAATGGGGGTCATAGATTATCATTAATATTGTTTGTTTTAAAAAAAAAAACTAAGGTACCACAATAATAAACGACCAAAATAATTAATTCATTTGAAAAAAAAAATTTTTTTTTTTTTCATAAAAATCCGATTTTCATTTGATTGTGTTTCAAAAAGCTTTGTTATATTATCTTGATTAAGAAAATCAATACAAAGGGAAGAATTTCAGTCTTCAGTTTACGACACTACCAAATTAAGCTCATTTTAATTATAATAATGCGTGCCCAAACTTTTCATTGAACAGTAGTTATAATTTATCCGTTTCGGAACAAATGAACGTATAAAAACAGAAAGATATTTATCGGTTTTGGAGAAAGATATTTATCCGTTTCGAAAATGAGTGTATAGAGAAAGGTACCGTAGATCTGATTTACTTACATTAGCATACATTTATTTAATCCCTTAATCCTCCTTTTTTCCTCCAATTTTAACAATTCCATTATTAAAGTTAATTTTTTCAAATAATCAATACCAGATACCAGTTTTCGATGGCACTTTTATGCTTTGAACTTTTCATGCTTCAACAATCATTTGTTTTGTGAAAGTAGGTTCCAATTTTTTTTATTAGAATCTTTTTTGGGCTTTATAGGGGATGAACTGATCTATCACTGAAGGAGAGAGAAGGAGAGAAGGATTTCATAGTGTAACGATCACTTGACCACATGTTTTAGTGAGTTCCTGCGTCAAAATGAGGAATTTTTAAATAAGGATTAGTTGATTATCGCATTATCGCCCTAAATCACATGAACAACTTGTGAACAATTTTGTACCACTGTAGATCGTAAACAAAAACCTATTTAAACTGTTAAGGAATTTCAAATTTCAGAGATCATTATAAAGATAAAACATGGCGAATGGACTGAATAGGTTATATTGGAGTATAGTGTTTATGATATCAATTTTACCAATTTTAGCAGCAGCAATTTATGGAAATAAATATTATTTTTGGAGTAGTATAATTTTATTTAAAACAATATTGTTAGTGGGATTTATAATATTCTTTTGGATACATTTTCTTAAATGTTGTGTTATAATATTTTTGAAATTATTAAGTGGAACTAGTAAATCTCTATCACCGATAGCAAATTATTTGAATCAATCAAAAGTAATAGGACCAATAATATCATGGTATATTAGAGCAGTATTCTTTTTTTGGTTTTTAGTATTATTGATAAGTGATGTATTGATAAGGACGATTTTATCCAGAGCAAGCGGTATTCATGAAGGGACGGGTTTTCATTATACTCCTATTAATGCTTCTGATACAGATTTTCAACCATTAGGATTATTTGAAAAAGATGAGGAAGTAGAAGAGAAAAAGAAATTATATGGTGATGATTTTCCGGAATATAATAAGAAATTAGCATTGTCATTAGCTATTGCATCTAAAATTGCTTATGAGGACGTTCCAATTATTAAATACGAATTAGAAAAAGCTGGCTATGATATGAACTCATTTAAACCCATAGCTTATAAGAATGTTTGTGGATACATAGTTGAAAAAGATGACAATATTATTTTAGTATTTAGAGGTACGAACCCCTTTAATATACAAAATTGTTTAACTGACATAAGAGCTCTCCTTTGTAATATTGAATCATCTAGTCGAGGTCTAATTGGATTAGTACATGAAGGATTTTTTGAAGCGATCGGAGAAGATTCATCAATGGATGAATTACCTCGTTCTCAATCACAAACTATTATAGAATTATCAAATACTTCTTTGGTTAAAACCATTGAAACTATATTTAGCGCATTGAAAACATTGGTATTCTTTGCATTTCAAAGTTTGATCACTCATGTACATGATCCCGTTGATCATAGATATTTAGGTGAAGATGCGAGATTCGTTAGTGCGTATAGTCAGGCTGCAAGATGGATATCCAAATTATGTAATAATGATTCAGAAAATGGAAATGAAGGTCTGAATAATATTAGACAACAAAAATCAAAAAAACATTTATACATCACGGGACACAGTTTGGGTGGTGGATTGGCTACTGTCTTCTTGGCTAAATTATTAAAAGATGATAGTCCATTACTTGATATCTTTGCTGGTATATATACCTATGGTCAGCCGAATGTAGGAGATATAAATTTTGCAAAAGCATTTGGCCCTGAACTCGGAAAGAAAATGTTTCATCACGCTTACAATAACGGTATTATATTTATATTTGATAAATTATTTTGTAATTTATTTATTGAAATTTCATTTATAATAAATTTTTTTTTAACAGATGTGGTTCCAAGGATTCCAAGGTGGCATCCTTATTCAAGTCCGCCTGGAAATTTGGTGTTTATTGACGCATCATTTTCAATATATTTGTATCCTCCTGATCCTGTTACGAATATTCCTATCCCTATACGTAGAATTTCTTATTTACATCTTTCTGGTCTCCTAAATCTTCAAGTAATCAGAAGAATGAGAAATGAATATTGGCTTAGGATTTTCTACAGAATAATGTAGGTTAAATAATTTTTAAAGAGAATTTTTGTTATGTTTAATAATGCTTAAAAAATTATATTTAATGATATTTTAATATATACCATATTTACCTTTTTTTTTTTAGATTTCCATTTTTCATTAATGATCATTTCCCTGGTGATTATGTACGTGCCATTCGTGAAGGTACTATTGAACGTGTTATTGTTGGTTCACCAGGTCAAATTGGTGGTTTAGAAAAAACAAAAAATTAAAAAAAAATCATAATTGACAATTTCTATAGAATTTTATATTTTATATTTACCAACTTGATGTGTTTGTTACTATTTATTAAATAAAATTGACGAGTTAATTAAATTATTGATTTTTGAAAATTTAATGATCAGAATCTTGCGCGATCGAAATCGCGAGATTGTATTGTTGAATTGTTGACCAATGTTATTATTTGTCTAACGTAAATTTGAAATCGGTTTATGATCAAAGTAATCAATCATATTAATCAGTCATCGCTGCCGTATTTGCAGATAAATATTATAAATAAATTAATCACCTGATGCTAATATTCATACTTTTCTTCAAAATATTTATAAGATGAATACAGGATTAGTCCTTATTTACCTCAGAATAAAGAGAAAATTAACTTATTGACGGTAGAGTTACGATCCGGATGAATTCGAAAAGGCACATTTGGCAATTATACACAGATTTTAATTAATAAAAATTAAATCTTTTTTTTATATATTATAAGACCGATCCCAATGCACAATATAGTAGTTTAAAAAATTACTATTTAATACAAAAAAAAAAAAATAATAAATAAAAATGTATTGATTTTTCATCCGATCCGGATGAATTTCAATCCGGTTTGATTTTTTCTCTACTTTTATTTTTTGAAGACAATTTTTTTTTATTATATTATGTATTAATAGAATTCATAAGATATCTCAAAAAAAAAAAAAATTCTTTTTATTGACTTAATATTTATAAAATGGCTGAAATGTGTTTATTTACGGATTGACGGATCGCAACTCTATATTGACTCCTGACACAGAAATTCAATCGAAACTTTTTGTTAACTTTTGATAGCCATTGTTACATTTTCATTTACGCTGTGCTATGATTAATTTTAAATATTTTAAATCTTACCTTTCTTAACATACTTTAACAGACAATGCACCATCAAAAAATTGTCACAGATCGATCAAAAATATTTCATGATCAATTTCGTGATGCCTATCTTCTGTATCCAAACAAAATATTAATACAATTAATATCTCACTTTTAACCACTAGTGAGGATTAAGGATCATGTGTCGAGGGAATTTCTGATCATTTTGGACTCCAGACGGAAGTGTAATTAAACGTGCCCCATCGATCAATCACTCTATATCAAAAAGTTCTATTTACGTCGTTTTATTCTATTTTAACCATTCTTAAGGTATTCGTGACTTTTAAGTATCTAAATAGATACGGAACTGATGGCAGATGATCCCACAAAGAGACCTAGAATTGGAACGAATAAGAAAATTGTCTCCGCTTAGTAAATTCATTGGAATAAATCAGGAAAATAGCAGATTGATGAATAATCATTCGTATACAAAAGAGCTTACAAAAGGATTAAAAATTTGGAACTTTTAATCATACAGGTTCTAAATAATAATAATTAAACTAAAAATAGAAAATTTTGATAGACTTTTATTCATTATATATATTCATTATATATTAGGAAAAGTTTTATTTTTTGCACTATGAAAAATATAACGCACGTGCGATTTTTTTCATTACTGAATTTTTAGACATTTAAGTTTCACCGAAATGGAATATCTTCGATTTCCAGAATTTACTATATGTGTGAGTATTATTGGATAGATAAATAGATGTCGCGAAATTCTCTCAAATCATAATATCAAATGGGTTTGCATCATATAAATGCATAATCTCATCAATATTCAATATGGCTAAAAACACATGATCATGTGTTGCAGCGGTACTACAGATGATCATATTTTATGGAAATTTATAATTGCTTTGGAATTTTATTATTTTTGTCTTTGTCTTATTTATGATGAAATTATGCAGGAAAATTGTCATAAACCAGTCAAAATTTTTTATTAATTGCTTGTTAAAGTTAAATATTGGTTAGATTAAGGTTGATTTATTATTACTTTTAATAGAAATGATAAAAGCAAAACAATTATAATAACACAATATATCTTTCTTAATAGCACAATAGTTAATAACCCTAACACAACATGATTTTATTGGGTATTACCATAAAAATAACGATTGTATGTTTTTTTGCTTAATGAACTTTTATGAGTTTTTAAATCAAACAATGAAAAAATTTATACGAAATAATTATTCAAATGAAGTAATTAAACAATCAAAGGTGGTTAAACCATAAATTATTAATTTAGCCTTTTAGCCCAAACGTTCTCTGTATAGAAGTGAGTACAATCGAACTTATTTTTAGATTTGAAAATCAGTTGATAATTAGTTTTTAATTTATTAATAAGGGAATTTTTTGTTTCCAAATTAGTAAATTGTAATCATGGGTCCTTTTTAATTTATCTGTTTTTGAATTTTGTAACTAAAATTAACTTAAATTATCGTAAGGTCACCGTAATATCGCTCGTAAGTGCTTTTGTTTCCAAATTTGTATTTTAGAACGGAATCTTATCTCCTTGTTCATTTTGTCACTCGTCGTACCCGTGACCTTCCTTTATTTATAAAAAAATTGCGAAAAACAAAAAAAAAATAAAAATAAAAATAAAAATATTTTTTTACCCTAAATATTCTACATCATCTCAATAATGTTACCTTTTTTTACATTTTTTGCGCTTATCATAACATACATTGTTTATAATGTTTTTAATAAAAAAAAAAACAAAATTCAATGTTCCTCAAAGAAAACAGAAAATATTTTGAGTCAAAACAATAAAAAAGTACCATTATCCGTGAATTATCATTTCACACGCAAATGTAATTATGAATGTGGTTTTTGTTTTCATACCGCAAAAACTTCATATTTGGCTCCAATTGAAGATGCAAAATCTGGTTTAAGAAAACTTGCAGATGAAGGTATGAAGAAGATCAATTTTGCTGGTGGAGAACCATTTTTATATCCGAAATATCTTGAAGAATTATTACGTTATTGTAAGCAAGTATTAAAAGTAGAATCAGCCTCTATTGTTAGTAATGGGAGTAAAATTAAATACGAATTTTTACAACGAAATAAAGATTATATAGACATTCTCGCAATTTCCTGTGACTCTTTTGATGAATCAGTTAATAAAAAAATTGGAAGGGGAACTGGAAAGCACGTTGAAAAGTTAAGCGACATATCTCGTTGGTGTCGTGAATTTGGGATTAAATTTAAGTTAAATACGGTAGTAAATGCTTACAATAAATCAGAAGATATGAATGAAAATATTTTAAAAATTGCACCATTTCGATGGAAATGCTTTCAAGTGTTAATTTTAGAAAATGAAAATGGTGGTGAGGGTACATTGAGAGATGCTCGCGAATTTGTAGTAACCGATCAAGAATTTGAGGAATTTATTCAGCGACATTCGAAACAAAAATGTTTAGTACCCGAACCAAATAATCTTATGAAGAATTCTTACTTGATTCTTGATGAATATTTACGATTTTTAAATTGTACCAATAACGAAAAGACTCCTAGTGAATCAATATTAGACGTACCTGTTGAAAAAGCATTGATGCAAGCTGGATGGGATCAAGAAGCATTTATCGGAAGATCTGGAATTTATGATTGGTCAAAACAACCTTCGAATATTTGTGGTAACAACCAAGCTAAAGAGCTTGAATGGTGAAATGTAATTATTACAATTATTGTAAAATTTTTTTTTTATTTAAATGTTTATTATATATATATATATGTTATTTTTATTATTATTTTATCAGTTTATTATTATCATAAGTTTATTATATATTTATTTATAATAAAAATTTTTTTTTTCCTCTTTACTTAGTTACAACATTATCCAAGGTTTCCGGGAATAATTTTTTCTTAAGCATATTAGAATTATTCATGCATTCCCATTGTTTCTTGTTAAATCTAGAGATATATGCTAATAATTTACCCATCACTATACCATCAGTTTCAAAAAACCAATCATGTTCTTTCATAAAAAATGCAATTCTTTTTTCTGCGTCTTGTACCTTGTTCTGAGATTCAACTATCAATTCAATTTCACCGACCGAATGTCCAAAGTCTGCGGTATCCAAAACCATAGTAAATTTATTATTAAGAAGATAGTTACGACGTTGAGTAGTTATCGTACAAATTGGCGTGAGATTGTATTTTTTAAATAAAAAATCTTTAAATTCTTCATTATTATAATGAATATTTTCTGACCGTCTTTTATTAACATCCAATTTTTTATCAAGAAATTCTTTAATGACATTGGTATCATCAAGTTCATGATATGAATCCATTGAAGCGGTTAAATTTACAGGTGTTTTGCATTCCCATTTGTTATCCCGATTACGAAGCCAAATATCATTTGTGGTTAATGGATAATTTTCCGAATGATTATCGTAATAAACGTCAGTAAATGATTTTTCAGAGATAAAAGTGACATTATCAAAAAGTTTTTTTCCGTTATTTTTTTCCAACAAAATAACTTTTGAACCATCAAATTTGAATTTTCGTTCTACTTCAAAATGATTCTGTTGTGTATTATAAAGTTTTAATTGTTTCATTGCACTTTTTATATTTTGGGCGAGAGAAATTTTATATAATATTCCTCTCTTAGTAAATAGATTATTCATTATTAATAATTTTTGAAGAGATTTTTAATTGTCGAATATTTTTTTTTTTTTTTTTTTTTTTTTTTTGATAGATTCTTGATTTAAATACATCAAAGTAGTGCAAAGTTCACCAATAAGGTTTTATTTATTAAGTATCAATCTTATTGTGACACACTAAGCCTTTGTCTAATAAATACATTTAGGATCTAGCGCTAGAAACAATTGCATATTTTTGAATTATCAATAAAAAAAAAAATTTAAAATTTGATTTTTTTTTTTTTACTACGGATTGTTATTGTGACATTGTTAAAGAACTGAGCGACCAAAAAAGTTAATCGCAATATTTGTTACACCACACGAATTCAAATGAAGTAAATGAAGTTTTAAAAACAGAAAAAATTGGTAAATTTGGCGTCATACTCTAATAATTTTAAGTGTTTGCAGGAAGTGAATCCGTATCGCTAGCAGTATTAATTGAATTTCATAATATATTTTTCTAGAACACAAAATTTTTTGTATAATCTCCTATAATTTTATTAAACTGCGTATTATTATTTATTGCATTGTTTGACTTTTTATGACTTTTGCGTATTTTATTTTATTTATTTTTAAAAAAGTGATTCAGAAATATAACACATTAATGTATAGGAGAATAATTAAAAAAAACTAGATTATCTATAAATGACGACTTTCCTGATAGACATGATTTCAAATTGTCATATAATTGATATAGTTGATAACACGATATACTTGTATGTCCTTGCGTAGTGGTCATAGAGTCTGTGTTCACGGTAAATAGATTATCCGGTAAGGGCCTACTATGACATCAAATACAGCTTATTTAATCGCAGATCCGAGTATTCAGAATGAATAATAAATTTACTATTTTGACAGTCTATATATCATTATTTCTTTTTTTTGAATTTAATAATGCATTGTATTTTCCATTTATAAATAATAACTTTATTATTACATAAGATATTGGATCTGTGGATGCATACTTACAGCTTACAGCATATAATATTTCTCGTGTCCTACCTAATATCATCAATGATGTTTGGTAATACTGTACATTGGCAAAAACATTTGGTTATTCATTTGCAAATAAAAGAGGTGTGATATACAGTATATTCCCGATTTTAAATTCAGCCTTCAAATAATATGCAACTCATTATTGTCTTATATTGCATTTATTTTGATAATAATGTATTTTCCTGAAAAAAAGTTTTCCAAGATTTTTTGGAGTTCTACACTCTTCGAAAAAGTTTTTTAGGATTCTTTGGAGTTCTACACTTTTCGAAATAAAAAAAAATTCCTTTCTGGATTGATTTGTGTACAGACGTCCATATAACGAATCTTCCAGATTTAATTTAAAATACGTTTTCATACATAATATGAATATTTATTATCTTAACATTTTTTTGGTTACGGCACGATTTCCCGACGGATGATTTCCCGACAAGACATTTGCCCGACAAGTTTGGGCAGAGTTATGCACGAACACGTGATCAAACTGCCAGCGTTTGGCTGTCAGGAAAATGTCCAGCGCATTTTATTTAGGTCACCAAATTTTGTATTGATTTTTTTAGTGAAATCAAGTATTAATTCTTTCTAATATTGGGACAGTGGTACAAACTGGCCAGAGTTAACGTTACAGCTATCACGTGCAAGTGCTTAACTTCTAAACTCGGACCAGTTCGTCGTACACTCACAGTACGTTACTATTATTATGTAATCTGATGTTAAAAATCGAATTAATTGAGGCTGTCTGTCACAAAGCTACACCAAAAAAGGCAATTCTCAGTGACAATTTTCTGACAAGTTACATTTGTAAGTTTTTTTACTACACCATATAAACAAACTATTCCTTATTAACTTTTTTTTTTTCATTCATAAATGAATTTTTAAATTTATAAATGAATTTTATTTTTACAATCCGCTAGTAAGGAAACGGAAAATCCGAAAATTTCTATTTTAATCTAAATAATAATTTTGTTACACAAAATAAAAATAATCTGCATTAATGAAGTTTAACTATTTTTATATATATCCGGACATCAAATCCGTTCTTTTTTTTTTCTTCTCTATTTTTTTTTTTTTTTTTCGAAATGAGACTTTTTAATAAATTAATTCGAATATTAGGAATTATTTTATATTTGATTAGTTATCACATTAATGTTATAAATTGTCAACAATATGTACCTATGAAAAGATCTTTTCATACGGCGACTCTGGTTGGAAATAAAATTTATTTTCTTGGTGGTTTTACAGATTTTGCAAATTATACAAACGATTTTTTTACTCTTGATGTTTCAAAATCGTTTAATCAAAGTGAAGGAATTCCATATGAAGATTTAAATTATTTAAGTACTGGTGTACCAGAACATAATAGAGCAACAACTTCAGTTGGTGGGGAATCAAAGGATACAATATTTTTGTTTGATGGACATATGGGAAATTATACTGATTATGCTAGTGAAGTAGTGCAATCATTTAGCACTTCAGAAAAAATATGGCAAACTGTGACAACTAATGTTGGTAAAGAACCTATGAGAAGGACGTCAAGTAATGCTGCTACAGATAGTAATGGCAAAGCATACCTTTTTGGTGGGGCAAAGGAGCTTAGACCTATTCAATATTATAACGTAATGAATACTTTTGATACAATTAACAAAATTTGGTTTAGTATTAACTTTGATGGTATTGCATCAGCTCCAACTCCAAGAGATGGTTATACTGCTACTTTCATACCTGAAACAAGTTCTATTATTTATATTGGAGGTTTTGGCAAAAGTAGTGACCCTTTCACCACAGCAGGGTTAATAAATATAGGCAATGTATGTCAATTGTATAAATTTTTATAAACTTTTAAAAAATAATGACAATAATAAATAATTAGTTGATTTACCCCACTTTTTATAGTTAGATATTTATGATACAATAAATAATAATTGGAGACAACAGGTATGTGATTATATAATTTTCAGAAAATCCAAAAATATATTTGTTAAATTTATGATTCATTCTTAAAAAAGTCAACAAGTGATCCACCGAGTAGTAGAGTATTTCACACAGCTGTATTAAGTAAGTATTGAATTTATTATTGATAATATCTCTATTTATTTATTTTATTATGCTAATTATTTTTTGGAATATTTAAAAGCAAAGGATAGAAGAATAATTTTATTTGGCGGCGCTGATTATACTACAAAACATCCAGCAGATTCTTATTATGAAGTATTAAATGTAAATACATACGAATGGTACCATAGTAATAAGGATACATATCTTGGAGCTCCTTATAAAGGCCATACAGCAACTTTAGTTGACGATTATATGTTTATTTCTTTTGGTTGAGTATATTATTTTTTTCATTTTTTGTTATTATATATAATATATATATATGAAAAATATATAATTTATGATTTATTATGTTTGATTTTTTTTTTCCTAGGTTTCGCTTATACAAAACACGGTACTGCTCGTAGTGATGAAATCTTGATTTATAAAATTGGTGAAAATGCAGATTTTGATCTGGTAGAAAGTTTCGAACGACCTATTATAGACAATCATTCTCATTCATCAGATACAAAAATTACAACGATACAGATAATAGCTATTTCTTTTGGTACAATAGGATTTGTTGCGTTCATGGTAGCTTTATTTATAGTTTTTAGAAAATATCCAAAAAAGAAAAGTGACATTTTATTCATCGAATAATTATTTGTATAAAAATAACGTGACTATTTATTTATTTATTTAAAAAATTACCCCCACGAAATTTAACAATTTCTTTTGTATAGTTATAAAAAGTTCAGATTTTTTTTACATTAATCTAATAAATAACAAATGTATATCATCGCAAAAAATTTGCGTCATTATTTATTTACATTCTTTACTAAGAAATCCGACGTTCACAAATCCTGACAAATCATAATCCCGAAAATTCAAAATCCCGATACTCATTATTCTGAAAAAAATATATTAAAAAAAATTATATCTTTATATTATGCAAAACATTACATTTTTATTTAATAACATAAATTCTAACATAATATTAATAATAATAACATAACATTAATAATAATAATTCATTAAATTTTGCAAAGTATATAAAAATATTTAATTATTACTCAAATTTTGCGACGTATTAATAAAAAAAAACATTGATTTTTATAATAAAGACGTTAATTCTTGCGAAAAATTTTAAAATTATTACATATTAATAGAATTATTAATCATTACAAGGTATAACGTCTAAAAGAAAATTAAAAAAGATGAGTGTCGGGATAATAAGTATCAGGATTTTGCCGGAACGTTCGGGATTATGAATTTGAGAGTCGGGCTTGTGTTATACGTAGGGATGGAAAAAAGTTCCAAATGGTATGACTTGAATCGGTTTTGGAGCCGAACGTCGGAACCATTTTTGAGCCGAACCGAGCAGCGAGGCAAGTTTATGTGCGAAAAGTTTATTCTTTAACCGTAAATAATTGAACAGTAAAATAAAACTTAATAATGATACTATAAATAGCGAACAATTAACAGTAACAATAACAATAACTGATAATAATAACATTGTAAATAGCGAACATTATTCCTTAACTTTATAAAACTAAATCATATTAACGAACATTTAATAATAATAAAGATAATACATTAATACCGTATAGCGCTGCATACAGTACCCCTTGTAATTGACCCCACATTCGGGTATTTTTGAATACCCCGGTACTACAAAATTCGATTTTGAGGATATTAATCATATTCTGACTTGAGTACTAATCAAATTTATGTACTATATATACATATACTTATTTAATTGTAATAAAATCATAGCCGATAAACTTTATTAAAAAAAAAATTATTAACGAATCATCAACTAGTAATCAAAACCCCCACACGTTAATGTAATTTGTTTCTTGTTCGTAATAACCAAAATATGATCTAATTTGAATTTATGAGAATTTTTACATTTTACATTTTGAAGTTTTTATTTCATATTAACGGAAAATTGAATTGAAAACTCGTTAAAGTTCTCTTGATTACTTAATTCTATTATCACATAATTAGTACCCTTCCAATGTACCCCCTTTTTATAGTAATCCCCTCCTCCTATAGTACCCTCGGGTACTATTCAATCTAAGCGGACTTTCTTGAATATTACCGGGGTACTACAGTATATGCAGCGCTATACGGTATTTAATAATAATAAAGATAACATTTAATAAAATTTATTATTTCAAATATCGTTTTTTTTTTGAACTAATTTGTTTTAAATCATAATTTAAAAATCATAATAAGAAGAATTATATTATTTCATTTTATAAAAACCGCATCAGAACCGGTTTTGGTCGGTTCGGTTCCAAACTCCGTTCCAAACCAGTTTTTGGTCATCGTTCCGACTCGTTCCGACTCTAGAACCGAAACCGATCCGATCGAGTAGTCCTTCTGATCGTCGGGATTTGGTATTGAAGCCCTAATAAACTTAATAAATTGGATAATTACATTAGTTGTTCGGTGGCTATATTAATTATTAATTATCACTGATATTTATATTTACATCGTTCAATTGTAAAATTAGTCTAGCGAAATCATAGTATGATTCAACCGGTCATTGATAAATTAATCATATAATACAATGTAATCTCGATATAACGAAATCCGCCAGCAGGATCAAAACTTCGATATATGGACGACTTCGGTAAATCGAAAATTTTTTATGTACAGAAAGTTAATAAGTAAAATTCGGTACGGAAAACACATTATTATTAATTGTAAATTGTAAATTGCGAATTAAAAATCCAAAACAATTGAACTTTAGCTGTCTTCTAATATATATATAAGGAATTTGATGATAAGTGTAGAAACGGCCTAGTAAAGAGTGCTGTACTATTGGGAATTATTTATGTTTACTAGCGTTAACATATAGTAGATACTGTAGCTTTTTCTACGGACCTAAAATCTTCGGTTAATCAAAATTCAGTACATCGTATATTGAGATTGTGTCTACAGTTGTCGACATAATTATTCGAAATTTTTATTTTAAAGACCATTATATCAAAGTTTTTTATAGGTAAAACGGTGATTCTTTAGCCATTTTTAAATGTAAAAATTGAGTAGTAATATACTTTGCTAATTATTCATTAGTAGCGATGTAAATTCACGGCACTAACTTTAATATTCAAAATGTATAAATTAACTTGGTTAATAACATACAGAAATAATTGAAACAACTGTTAACCACAGTCTAATTATATAATTATTGGAAAATAACACCTGGATGAAGGCATAATTCGCAGGAATATGATAATATTGATTGGCAATTTTTTTTTTAATTTAGAATGCACATTTGGTTAGACTAGGAAAACGGTAACCGTTAAAATCCGTCACGTTTATTTACTCAGGATCTTTTTTTTATTACAACATTAATTGATTACAAAAAATAGCAAGTTATCAATGTTACAAAAAAAAAAGGAATGATTGAAAGGATTTTTAAAACATATAAAAATCATTGTTTAAATTTGAATGTTAAAAATTTCTTCAACGTGCTAGTCCTAAGAATGTCATTATGGAAAAATTTGCACAATAATTCAAATCAAATAGTCTTAAAAAATTGATATATCAAATTATTTATTTAGCTATATGTTTTCAATTTAATAAATTAATAAAGTGAACAAATCGATTTATGACTTATGTAATATGTAATTACTATTTGTTGCTGACTTAGCCAAGTCTTTTAAAAAACTTGTTGTCACCTGATCACCACGTTGAGGTGCAGCAACATTGATCAGGGGGGGAAAGGGGAGACGAGAGGGAAAGGGGAAAACGAAAGGGAAGGGAAGGGGAAAACGAAAGGGAAGGGGAAAACGAAAGGGAAGGGGAAAACGAAAGGGAAGGGGAAAACGAAAGGGAAGGGAAAACGAAAGGGAAGGGAAAACGAAAGGGAAGGGAAGGGGAAAACGAAAGGGAAAGGGGAAAACGAAAGGGAAGGGGAAAACGAAAGGGAAGGGGAAAACGAAATGGAAAGGGGAAAACGAAAGGGAAGGGAAGGGAAAAACGAAAGGAAAAGGGAGTACGAGAGGGATAGGGAGGGAAAGGTAAAACGATAGGGAAGGGGAAAACGAAAGGGAAAGGGGAGAACGAAAGGGATAGGGAGAAGGAGAGGGAAAAGGAGAGAGGGGAAGGGAAAGAACAAGGAAATACGCAAACATACACCACCCACGCACAAACCCACACACAAAACTACACAACAACCTACATACCTAAAGGAAGACGTAAAGAAAAGGGGCCTAAGAGTAAAGAGAAAACCTAGACAGAGAGAAAACAGAAAAAACAGACTATAAAAAAGAAGACAAAGAAAAAAAAAGATAAAAAAAAAAACCGACATATTTATATTATTTAAGTTACTCATGAGTCATGACAAAAACCCACATAAGATAATCAAGATGAGTAATTTTTTTTCGCGTATCATATGACGTTCGGACATTTAGTATAAAGTATAAAAGACTAAAAGTTATCACATATATTGTTACAAAAAAAAGAATCAAAAAAGGGAAATGCAGGGGTGAATAGGGATGACGTTGGCAAATTGTCTGGTGCATAACAATCCGGACAACTAATAATAACATGAATTTGAAATAAAAAAAAAATAAAATCTGCATCATTTTGATATACTGTATCGTGATAAATTCCGGATATTTTCGTCGTGAACTGTATATCGTACTCCTTAGGAATATTAACAATATTAACGCAAATTTCTAACATGAAACAGCTCGGGTTATACCGAAAACGAAATTAAAAAATTGTGCAATTCTTTTATTTGAAAGACTTAATGAGCAATTGAAATAGATAGAACATCTCTTGTTTTATTAACGTATTAGTGTACTATATATCTTGGAGAAATGTCATTGATCATTTACAAAGTTAATTTCTTCATTAAATTGCTTAGAAATTACACTCGTTCGTTAAATTTTTCGGATGCAATTTATTTTTTAATTTCTTTTTATAATAATATAAAATTACATTTATAAATATAAATAGTTTCATTATTAACACAAAATTTATGACAAAAAATCATAACAAACACTCGCGGATAAAAACGGCTAAAAAATGATCCGGATAATTCTTATGTTTTCATAGCAAAAAAATAAGTCACGGATTGTTAAATATACTCGGGAACTTTAGAAAGCTCAGTGATACGACTTGCTCTCGTGAGAAAAAAGATCTTAATGATTTTGTGACAATGTTCCATACTAGGTATTAATTATATAATTTTGTAATATTAAAATTTATATATAACTATCTCTTATCAAAATTTCAAATTATATATATCAGTAGGAAAACCCACAACTTAACGTTGAGATTGGGGAAAATTAACGTTCTTGAATAAGAAATAATATTTAATACTTTGATTTTGGATTTAAACTTAATATATTAAAAATCAGAAAGATCTGATCTTTATTTGTATTTTAAGATCGTTAGAGTTGAGAATTGTTATAATAATAATATTATTATTCTTGCTTATTATTATGTACTATAATGATAAATTTTTTTATAAAGACATTTACTTTAAGAAATTTTGTGATAAAGTCAGGTTATTAGTTTACTTATCTTTCGGATAATGAGTAAATTATAGTGTTGTTAAAAGTCCGATTTGGTCATTAGCAATCAATGATGTCATATGTCAACGCCCAATTTTAAATTTTTTTCCCACACTTTTTTCTTTTTTTTTTCTTCGTACAAAAAAATTTTTTTCTTTTTACAATTATTTTTTTTTTTTCTGTACTTTATTAAAATTTTACATTTAGTCTTTTCTAAATCAATAAACAATTCTAAATCCTATTATGAGCGATAATTATAGATGTATGAATGCTATTCCAAATCAAAGATCAATAGCAAGTGAATTATATGACATATTAGATTTTTGGTTTAAATCTCATGTAAATGAATATTATCAGGAAGAAAAATTTGGTTATAAAAGAGAAGAAATTGACATAGAGGAACGAGAGGAACGAAAAACTGATGGAGAAATATCTTTTGATTCCTCAAAAATTAAAAGAAAATTCATACCAGTTCGTGCACCAAGTGTCGTTTGGCAATATTTTGAAAAATTATATGATGATAATGGCGTTCATTCCCAATCAAGATGTAATTTTTGTGGTAAAAATTATTCTGCAGGATGTGCTACATCTACCCTTAACTATCACTGGGAATGTAAACATAAACATTCAAAAGTTCAACCTGGAGGCACTAGATCAATTGAGATGGCATTTAATAATTCTGAAAAACAAGTAAAATCGAAAGGCGGAGAACATTTAGGAAGTTCTGAAAAATGAGTAAAATTGAAGGGCGAGAACATTTAGGAGTTCAACCTTGGGTACTGGATCAATTGAGATGGCATTTAATAATTCTGAAAAACAAGTAAAATCGAAGGGCGGAGAACATTTAGATTATTTAAGTGGACTTACTAATTGGGTAATTTTATTTAGAGAAGTGGATAGTACAAAAAAAGAAGAAGTCCAATAGTTTATCATTTCATAATGAAGTTGAAGAATATTTGGCAGTTTCTATAGAATCTCAAAGCGTAAATCCCTGTGAATGGTGGAATACAATATCCAATTTTAGCAAAGATAGTTCGTGATTATATTTGTATAACTGCAACGTCAGTTCCCAGCGAACAAGCTTTTTCAAAATCTGGAGAATTGATTAGCAAAAGAAATAGATTAGGTGATCATTCAATAGAAGCCCGCATGTGTTTAAATTCTTGGATAGCACTATTAGATAGTAATAAATGTATTTAGTTTTATTTTTAGTGATTATACAAATATTACGAATAAATAAAATTAGAAAATATTTTAAATTACGAGTATTATTATTTTTTTTTAACAGCAGCGCATACGTCTATTATGTTATACTAGGATCAGTACATAATTTAACAAAATACATAGAGGTGACGTCTAACAACGAAAACCCTATAGCTAACCAATCTAAATTACGAGTATGAATGTATTATGTTAATTACTTAATTGTTAAATACTTAATTGTTAATGAAATAAAAAAATAATTGATAAAATTTGCATCGGCCCCATCATCAACTTGAAATTATTAAGTTGAACCAAGCTGCAACTTAAATTTTAAGTTGGACCAGACCTACCCCATCAGTCGGTTCAGTCCGGTTTGGTCCAGCTTGGACTTAACAATATATTTGGCCATAATATACGGTATGTAATAGTAAAATTCATATTTATATTTTATATTCATATACATTACACTAGTTGGTTAGTCAAATTTTGCATAGCAGAAATTACTAACCAAACCATTTTGCCAAAAGGTTCTATATTTGAAATTGTATTGACGATACGTCTGATGTTGATTCAACCTCTACATGACTGTTAGTTGACAACTCGTAGGACTCTGAATTGAAAGTTCAATGAAAGAGAAATTGCTTGGGCTAGTGAAAATATCGTCTGTGTGGATTACGTAGTTCACGTGGTATATATGAAACTGGTTTGGAGAATGTTAGGGATAGTTGTTGTTGAGTGTTATCTGTACGTGCTATCCGGTATGTTTACTTGTTATTCTCTCTTTTGTACTTTTCGTCTTAAACAAACTCAGGTAACCTGACTAAAAATTGTCTCGTCGTTTATGATAATTACTGTATTTTATGATTTATCTATCTTAGATTATGCGCAACCAAACGTTGAATTTGCCCAATCGCGCCAAAGTGAGAGGTTTTAGTGGTTTCATGATTTCAGTAGATTTATTATTTCTGATAAAATTTTGGGTCTAAAGGCACGTGAGATAAACTAAATGATTTTTCTCCAAATTCAAACAGGTTATTTATGGTCGCTCGTGACCATTTGATGATAACGTTCGGGTGAAATAACTGATATACCCTATAATTATGTAACTGGATGTTGAACGAAATTGATAATTAAATAATTAATGAGAGATAACTCACATGGTGGATTTAATAAATATTGAAACAATTGTATATTTTGGAATTATAATCAATTAGTCAATAAGTTTTGCGGTAAAAAAAATAATATTTTCATCAGAACTACTCATATTATTAAAAACATTAGTTTTGATTTGCGTAGGCATAACATATTGGACATTTGACTTTTTTCACCGTTTTTAGCTCGACATATCTTAAGGCCAACTACAGTATTACTAAAATCGACGTTAGGGTCTATATATATATTTGATCTATGGATAAGATTTGTTGCGACAGTTAATCAATTACAGATCCAAATATCCACTTTTTCCATTTTTACTATGCAATACATTGTATATTGTATATATCATTTTGAAATGTACTAATTATATAGTGGATATTGGAACAGTGGAATTGTGGAAATGAAAATTTATTTTTTACACGTTGATCTCTTAGTGTAGGTGCTGGATTATCATGGTGATTTGTTAGGTCTTCTCTTTGTTGTGTGGGTTGAGTGAGGTGTGTGGGTGAATGTGTGTGTATTCCTTCGCTCTTTTCCTTTCCCTTTCCTCTCGTTCTTTCCTTCCTTATCACTTTCCTTTCCAAAGTCCTTATCAATGTTGTTGCGTCTCAACGTTTGGTGATCAGGCGGCAAGAAGTTTTTTTAATATTTGGCAACAATAGATGGATCGTAAAATAGTCACCCATGTATATCAATTTAGCATTTTACTAAATAATATCCAGGTACAAAATAAAGTTTTTTTTTTAAATCTTTAAATGCCTTTTTTTTATTATAATTTGAGAAGTGTTTTCGTTACCAAATAAGACGTTCAAATAAATGAAAAATATTATTTAGCTATGGCTTTTGCTACATTGGAAAGCATATTATAAATTTATAATAAAAGTAAAAAAAAAAATTAATATAAGCTAATAGCTATAAATCCTCGTTACCTACCCCACTATTTCACTGAAAATATAATTTATTTTGTTTCAATAATCTAGATTAAAGTAAATTAGTAAATTAACGTTAGTAGAATTTATTGAAAAGATTCATAACTATTAACAAGTTAATTCTTGTTTCTTATAATTGAAAGGTGAATACCATCTATTTATTTCGTCTTAAGAAAAAGTAAAAAAATCAAAAAAAAATTGAAATCGCGTAAAACGTTATTCGTTACACACGTTACACAAATTTGATGCTCACCGCATTTAATTATGTAGATTTTTAAGGATTTTTCCGTCAACCCTCATAAATATTAAACGGGTAAAGACGGATATTATCCGTTTTCACCCGGTTGTAACCTAAGTGAACGATCCTAGTGGATCACAGAAATTCTAGAAATTGTTCGGAGAAATTTTTTTTTTTCGGATGATCCCCTGAATTATGTAACTTACAGTACATTATGCATCCTGTTACAATTATTATACTGTAATTTGCGGCAGACTTTGACAATTCAATGTTCTAATGTAAATAAATCTGTTATTTATTACACACGATAATTAAAAATAAAATACATTAATTAAAATTGACTATTTTATATATGTCTAGACTTCAATCCGTTCTTTTTATTTCTCTGTTTTTTTTCGAAATGAAACTTTTCAATAAATTAATTCGTATATTAGAAATAATTTTTTATTTAATTAGTTTTCAAATTAATGTTATAAATTGTCAACAATATGTACCCATGAAAAGAGCTTTTCATACGGCAACGTTGGTTGAAAAAAAAATATATTTTCTTGGAGGGTTTACAGAATTATCAATATATACTAACGATTTTTTTACTCTTGATGTTTCAAAATCATTTAATCAAAGTGAAGGATGCCCATTTGAAGATTTAAATCATTTAAGTGCTAGTGTAGTACCAGAACATAATAGAGCGACTACTTCAGTTGGTGGTCTATCAAATGATACATTTTTCTTATTTGGTGGAGATATGGGAAGTCAATCTAAGTATGCTAGTGAAATATTACAATCATTTAACACCTCAAAACAAGTATGGCAATACGTTACAATTAATTCTGGTGAAGAACCTTTAAGGAGAACATCAATGAACGCTGTCACAGATAATAATGGCAAAGTATATCTTTATGGTGGTGTAAAAGAGCTTGTTCCTATACAATATTTTAACTCTATGGACACTTTCGATACAGTTAACAAAATTTGGTTTAGTATTGACTTTGATATTACGTTAACTCCAAGAGATGGTTATACTGCTACTTACATACCTGAATCTGGTGTTATTATTTACATTGGAGGCTTTGGTAGACATTTTTACCCTTATATCACATCAGGATTATTAGATATGGGCAATGTAAGTCAGTAATTTCTTAAATTTTTTTTTTTTTTAAATAACAATTATAATTAATTAGTTGATTTTATCTCTTTTATAGATAGATATTTATGATACAGTAAGGAATAATTGGAGAAATCAGGTATGTAATTACATAATGTTCAAATTTAGAAAATGATATATTTTAATAAATATTATTCTTACTTAAAAAGCCAACGAAAAATCCACCAAAAAGTAGAGTATTTCACACAGCTGTATTAAGTAAGTAATGTAGTCATTGATTATATTTTTATGTAATTAATTATTTTATTATTTTTAATATGCTAATTTAAATGTTTCATTTTTTTGGAATATTTAAAAGCAAACGATAAAAGAATAATTATATTTGGCGGCGCTGATAATACTACGAAACATCCAGCAGAGACTTATTATGAAGTATTAGATGTGAATACATACCAATGGTATCATAGTAATAAAGATATATACATTAGAGCTCCTTATAAAGGCCATACAGCAACTTTAGTTGACGATCATATGCTTATTGCTTTCGGTAAATATAACTATTTTTTTATTTTTGTCCAGAACGAAAAATATGACTGTTTACTGTACAAATTTGTGTTACCCCTGTAATGACCTTTCACCTTCTTTCCGTTCAATTTTCTTTTTTGAACGAATTGCTATGCTTCTCTTCCTTTTTCGAGTATGTTACACTGTCTGCACCATTTTCACCCCGATATATATATTTTTACCTTGAACTTATAATTCACTATGATTGATATATTTTTAGGGTTCGTTTATACAAAAGAAGGTAATGTTCTTAGTGATGAAATCTTGATTTATAAAATTGGTAATTATGCCGATTTTGATCAGGTAGAAAATTTAAGCCAATCACCTTCGGGACCCCCTGCTACAGAACCACCTGCTATGAAACCTTCTCCACAAGATACAAAACATATTAAGTTGGTAACAATAATAGCTATCATTAGTAGTATACTTGGGTTTATTATTATTATAATAGCTGCATTTATAATATATAAAAGATATAAGAAACATGCTAAAAGTATTTTATTTATCGAATAATTATTATTAGAAAAAAATTTGTTCACCTATTTAACCTAATATAATAGACGATTTTAAAATAAGTATAGACGATAGAAATTGCGTCTCTATCATATGAATAATAAAGTATTTCATTTACCAAAAAAAAAATAAAATAAAATAAAATAAAATTGCGTAACTACACGACATTTTAATAATCCCTGTCGCACTAAGCATACTAATTTTAAAAATTGAGAGTTTATAAATGACCGGGGATCTTTGTTTACCTATTTCCCGGCCTCATATAGATAGCCGGGAAATTACTAATTTTAGTTTAAAATAGTTAATATTTAATGTGTGGCACGCTCCAGGGGATTACCCATTTATTTCATGAAAAGGAGAGCATTAGGGTTTTTTTCCCTTCGGGAAAAAAAACCCCTATTATTCCCAATTCCCTATGAAATAAATAATATAAATTCAGATTCAGTTTCTAATAAATTGGCTACATTAATAATTATTACCGATATCAAGTTATCCTTTTATATGAACAAAGATCCGTGATTGGTTTGAACGTGTGTTGTTTAATAATCGTGCGCCGGTGTTGACGGGTAAAGTGTCATATCGATATCCTCGATGAAGGATTTGAAAGACATAATAGAACAATAACACATACATTAAAAAAATTTTATTAGTCAATTTTTTTTGCCAAACGCGCCAATATCTTGTTCGATTTCAATATCCTTTCAAAAATTAGGGCTACAGGTAGAACTAGGGTTTGAGTCAGAACGAATAGAGCGAAGTCAAGAACTTTTTTGATTAGAAGAGAGTTAGTTCAGTTTGAGTCAAAGTACGGGTCAAAAAAAAAAAAAATTTCTCGTACCGGAAGTGTAGCAATCACTTAAAAATGCTGTATTAAGTTGTAGTTATGCTTAATTTCAGCCAAGTTCGTAATGCTGGGTCAAATTTTTTTTCACAATATATCACGTGATGCTACATGAGATTATTATTTGAGAAAACTTAACCTAGACCGGGGGTTTAGGCTTCTTATCCTAGACCTAGAGGGTCCACAGACCTCTTATCTTAGACCTTGTGGCACAGCTGATCATTATCAGCCTCATTTGTTTATTTACCACCATTTTTTTTTTCACACGAAATAAACGCTACGCTCACTCTCTTTCTTACGATTATATAAAAAACAAGTATTGTATGGAAACCGATGTATGTATGTATGGTGTTACAAACTGTTACATGTATGCTATGTATGGTAATGATTTCGTACATGTATATTTATCTCGAACCAGAAAATAAAGTATGACCGTATGATTGTATAAACAACATTTTTTTCACATGATTGTGACTTGGCTCTTTTTTTTCTCAAATTTTTTGAAACGAAACTATGTTTATTTTTTTATTTTTTTAACAGATTTCTGGTAAGTGGTAAGAGTTTTATTTAAATTTACTTTTAAAAACGATATTAACCCGTTTTTTTTATTTCTTCTTAATAAATGTGTAGTTGTAATGACGCGATGTTAATGACATTTTGAAAAGACTAGCACCTTATTTTTTTAGGGTTCAGAGTTTCCTTTGGAACGGAACTATTAAGGTAAGCATCTTTGGGTTGGTATAAAGTGGTTAACGGCATTATGAAAAAACATTAATGCCTTTTTTCCTGTTTTTCCGATTTTAAGTCATTTGTTGGGAATTTGAAACAAATGTTTTAAAGAATTTTCGGGTAACTTTTAGTGTAAGAAGTTGTTTTTTCTTCCAGCAACATTATGGATTTTTAAGGAATTGCATGTATTCCTCTTTAATGGTAATTGAAGAGAAAAGATTCTTTTTATAAGAGATTTCAAGGCACATGTAGAAGTTATCATTTCTTTTAGTGATGTCATTAATATTATTAATATTTCATTTACCTTTATTGTATTAGATTGTTGGCGTATTAAATAAAATTTTTTTTTCGATATATTCTTGTATATATATAGTAATATATTAAATTTAGTTACATTAATTGATAAGACGTCATTGATGTGTTACGAGATCAGATTTTATTGTATCGATCTAATATAAATAAATGAATTTCCAATATTTTTGACATTTTTCGCACTTAATTTGATCTGGGAAAAAGGTTAGTAAATAATTTACTTACGGAAAATGTCTGTTTCAGGAAAAAATATTTTTGGGGGTGTGAAAGTATTTGTTTGCTGATTTATTAACTATCTAATCAAATAGTAATTTATGTAGATAATTGAAAAATTTCCCGCAAGTTAACAATTTAAATGAAAATTTCCTGCAAATGGGTGGTCCAATCTGTTAGGGATGGGAGTTAATTGAATCTTCAGAATCTCAAATAGTAATTAGGCACTTTGATGGTATATTTTTTTAATTGAGAATTTTTTTATTTAACTATAATTGGGTTTTTTTCACGTTAAAACGATTAATAAAACTAATTTTTATTCCTTTTTTATCTTTTTAAACCATGATTTAGCTTTTTAAGTTAAATTCATAGAACTAGTACATACAACACGTAACATTCATTTTTTTAAAAAATTTTGTAACGCGTTTTTTTCAGAATACACTTTTTAAAACATAATCAATCTTCGATTAATCGCAAGCTTCATAATGTCTTCGATTATTGAACTTTCGGATATAGATGATTATAATGAGAAAGACTTAATTAAAATGGTAAGTAAATGTTATTCAAATTATATTATTTTATTAAAGAGAAAATTATTAAAAGCTAATAAACAAAAATAGAGAGAGAATAATAGTGATAGCGAAAACGAATTAGAAAGCGAAGAAACATTAGCTTTCTTTACTTCTCAACTGCGAGTTCCCAAAGTTATATATACAACTGTTCCTATAGAATATCCAGATACATCTTCAGAAGGAGTTGCAACCGTTTACAATGTAACTGGATGGAAAAATCATACAGACGCGTTTTCAGATGTAAGTATATATTATTTACCTTTAATTTAACAACAAGCTATAGATCTTTAACTATAAATACTTTTTATTACAATGTAGATTCAATATTCAACAAATGGTTCAGGCGGTACCACAAATATTCAAGAATGCCCTTTTTTTGGAGGAATACCCGTTAAAAAAAATCAAAGAAAATGCCAAGGAATAAAGTTTTGTCAGTTCACTGATCCTGAACTTGTTAATCAAGAACACTGTAGTGTTGATTTTGATTCTGAAATTTTTCAACATTATACACAACAAAATAATAATAATACTAAAGAAGCTAAGACATATACGTAAGTTTACTAATTATTGTTAATTTCAAATGTATAAAACTTATTTTAATTACTAATCCAAATTTTTACTAGTTTATTTTTGGCAGCAAAAGATACTCCTTGTAATTTCAAAAAAGACAATATCCCATGCAATGGAGGACCTCATATTGGAAGAATAACTAATTATCAAACAAATATTGTATCATATTTTATCGGTTGCAACAAATACAAACAAGGTGATAAGTGGCATCGATATATCAAAATAAAACAAGATGAAGTTGATATTTCATTACTTCAAAGTCTATTCACAGGTTCTGCATCTGTAAGTATTATTTATTTCTCATTATTATTTTTTTTGTCAAATTGGAAATTATAAGCAATTGCAGATAGCCATTTATTTTATATCTTTCTATTTTTAAAATTTAAAAATTATTCAATTATTTAGGTACAAGAT